GCGTCTCAGAAGTCTCCCCCTCTCTTCTGAGTAAAATAATCTAAGTGTCAGCTCACCCGGGAGGCAGCCCCCAGGGCAGGGCCAGGCCGTGTAAGACGGAGCTGTTTCCTGTACCCCTGCGGCCTTGTGATAAGAAAGTGCGTAAATGATGGGGTGGGGGGAGGTTGGGGGTGGACAGAATCCTAGGGAGAGCCGCTGTCTAGTTCCAAGCGTGCTTCCGTGCTGTGATGGGAAGGAAGCGACACTTATGTACATTACGTACGTTGTTTCATCATCATCTTTTGTTCTTATAGGACACACCCCACTTGCCCCCAGTGCTGCCTATTCCCTGTGCTTTGGGGGAACTTAGCTACATCTATGTTATGTGTCAGCGATGCTGGCAAGGGACATCTGTTTTAGAGGCGGGTGCAGCTCATCTGACAATCTTTGCCTGAAGATCCCAGCTTTTGTTTCAGAGGTAGACGCCAGCCCCTCCCAGGGACAAGCAGTCTTCTTGGCCGGCTTGTAATTCCTCCTGAAATTCTTTAGGGGGTAGTGTGTGTGTGTGTGTGTGTGTGTGTGTGTGTGTGTGTGTGTGTTTGCGTGTGTGTGGAGAGAGAGAGAGGGAGAGACACAGACAGAGGCAGAAGGTCACCTCCGGAGGAATGATGGGTGTACTGTCATTCATCTCAGAGCTCAAAAGTTCACCAACTCAGCATTCAGCCAGCACCCTGGACTTTCAACTGTCCTGGAGCCCAGATGAGTCAGCCAGGATAAGAACTCAGTAACAGCTTCCAAGATCCAGGGCCCTGTAAGGATCTAATTCCTAAGGGGTGAGGTAGCTCACTGGGTCCCGGCCCGTAGATGAAGGGTGGGGAGGGGGAGGGGACAGAACTACATTTTCTCCCACTCCTTTTGCCCTTGAGGGGGAGGGAAGGTACACGAAGGTCGAGTCCTGAGTCTGTTTCCCCGCCCCTCCTGGGAAGTGAGGGCTCTCCTCCTTTCTCGTGCACTGACTGTTTTGATGACTCATGAATCCGCCCCGACTGCCCGCTGCCCAGCAGGCGCCGCAGTCAGGAGCACGGCCTCTGGCAGCAGAGCACCCAGGTTCAACATCCGATTCTGCCACCGGGGCTGGAGAAGTCACTGAAGTCCTCATCTTTCAGATGGGCTTGGTCACACCCATCTTTGCTGCCCAGAGCGAGTGTGAGGTTAGATGCCTGATCATTTGCCGTGGTGGCTGGCAAGTTATAGCAATGGCCACGTCCCCAGCTGCCACTGGACAGTCAATTCTTAGAAACGGATGGAGGCCATGACACACAGACCAGTGCGGGGACCCAACCACACATCAGCAGGTCTGGATCTCCGTCGCTCTCTAGTCCAGTGGAGGGAGAGTCTCCTGGCCTTGCTTTGATTCATCTCCACTGGACGTCTCCTGGCAGCACCCTCAGCGCATCCCAAGCTGAGGACGATGTGACCTCCCCAGCCTGCTTTTCTGGGCTTTCTGTTCTGCCACCTCCACTTTCTTGGTCACTCAGCCTCCACTCTCTCGCATCAGGAGGCCCCAGGGATTCTCCCTCTGGCCAGTCCCTGCCCTCCTGCGGCCACTGCCCCCAGCAGATCTGAGTCATCTCAGCTGAGGAAGGTCAGAGCCACCTCGGAAATCTCTCAGCCCTTCACACGCCAGCCAGCACTTATTAAGGTGTTGCTTTTAGTACATCCCCTCCCGGCTCCAGACCCTGCCAGGCTCCCTCTGATTCTCACCAGGGGCCCCCACCTCCAGCCCCGGCACGCCTTCCCCGTCTCCTCTCCAGCTCTTCCACCAGTGAGGCCCCATTCAGCGAGGGCTTTGCTCTCCCGCCCTGAACCTGGCCGTGTCCTTCTCAGTCCTCTTCCCTGCATCCCTCCTCCCCCACTCACAGCCTGGGGCCTGCCCTGGGCTTGTTTTTATTAGAGAGGAACTGAGAGGCCCATTGGGTTGGCCGCCATCATCTCAGATTCAAGCCACTCTTGCCGTTTCCTGGTCAACCCAGGCCTGCTGGCCCAGCTCCATTCGTGCATTTCCGAGACCAGTCTTGCACTTTGCTGCAGGAACTGGCTGTATTCTTTCATATTCCAGGGCACCAGGCCCTCCCTTTATAATCTTCTAGAGTTTAGAATAAAGACCTGACATAAGGGCAGTTAAAGACACTCTGTCCCTTGCCCTCACCTCCCCACATATAATTGTGGGGCACCATGTGGCATTTGTGCTATATCCTCAAGTCTGTCTCCTCTTCAGGATTCCCCTCACGGTGACAGTCCAAGGTCCTGGGAGCTCTTCTTTGAAGGACTGGTGAGACTTCTAGCTTGGCCATCTTCCGCAGCTCCATTCCCCGCTCCCCACCCACAGCTAGGTCTCTGGGTTACGCCTTAAGCACACTTCTCACTGGCTCCCCTCCGGTCCTCTCCCGGCTCTGCCGTCTGGTCCTCACCAGCACCCCTCAAGTCCGTCCTTCTTCGAGGGACTGCTGCACGCAGCCCAGATTCTGAAATGCCCTCTCCGTGGGCTAAGGCAGGCTTTTCCCACTTTACAAAGGCAGGGCCCTTGTAATAAGCCTTACACTCTCCCGGGACCCTGCCCCCCGCCCCCAGGAGAACGAGCCTCGCTGGCTTCCCTTGCAGACTGACTCCTCCCCACGCCCCTGCCTCCCTCGAGCCTGGTCGAGGCTGCACCTGTCTGGGGCCCTGTACTTCTTTCTTGGTATTCTTAAATTGTGTTTAAATAATTAAGATTGGGAGGAGGAGGGTGTAGCTCAGTGGTAGAGCATGTGCTTAGCGTGCACAAGGTCCTGGGTTCAGTCCCCAGCACCTCCACTAAAAATAAATAACTAATTCCCCAGTACTGCCATTAAAATAAATAAGCCCAATTAACCACCCCACGAAAATAATTAAAAAAAATAAATAATTAAGATCAGGTACTTGATGGTCGTTCACCCTCAAGCACAGGACGCAGAGCGCAGGTTTTGTTGACATTCGAACCCCCAGCATCCAGCATAGCTTCTCTGAACAAATCCTGAATCCTGACTTCCTGAAAATATCACCATATAAGGCTACGTCCATTGCTTACGTGGTCAGGGACCGAGTCAAAGTCGGGGTCTTTACGAGGCTTTGAGGGTAGGTTTAAGGGGATCTCCCAGTGCTGGAGCAGGGGTCAGCTCAGACTGGATCAGGCTCATGAGATTAGAGTTAGGATTGGAGAACACAGACAACAACGTGAGAATTTTGAGGCAAGGGGTTCAAAGAATCTTGGGGTGTAAATAGTCGTTCATGTTACTTGTTGAAAAGTCATATAGTTTAATGTTCATTTGAATGGATTTTCCCGGGAACTTCTTGAAACAAAGCTATTTGGAACTTTTACTTTTACCTGACCTCCTTGTCTGCTCC